TAGCAATGCAATGTGAGAATTTGGAATATTGGATAACATTCCTTACAGAGTGAATTATTAAGGGTACGAAGAAGAGATGTCGTGGAGTTGTACACGTTGGGCGCTTCACACAACTTCACTAATAACCGGTGAAAGCTATTAATGAATATTTCGATGAGTTGTCAGATCACAAACGCTTCGTTTTCAGTGCAGAATGCCTGCAATTTTATCCCTCTGCATTCTTTCAATCAGTATACCAACGCACCTGTGTTGAAAACGTACGTACACCTCCTTAAAATGGAACCCCAAAATCGGTGCAAAGTTTACAGTTGATGGAGAAGTTAATAGAATTGATAAAGAAAACTTCATCAACTTCACTTTCATGGACGAGTTTTAAGAATGCATACATGCCGCCTATCAAAGACATCAAAGTGAACTCAATAGGAATGACTGCGAGCCAGTGCATGCATTTTGATGAAACAACAACATTGCAACGATCTGATTTTGTAATAAAAAGATCAAGAGTTAAGTGAGAGATCTTCTCTTCCTTATCATCAACGTTATTTTTCCACTTTTCCCTAGGGGTTACGAAATGTAATAAAATCTATGACAAGAGAGTAAAATAAATATGGAAGTACTTTTTACTTACGTTTTGTTCGCACGCCACTGGTTTAAACATGTCACGTGATTGGAAGTGTGATGGAAGTGTCCTTTTCGAAGTCAATTAAAGTTGGGCAGCTTTTGCCGTTGTGTTTATTTGTTCGTAAAAAATATCTGAGACTCGTTTCACATCAAATGTAGCTTAATTTTTGTTAATCGCAATTCAGTGATTATTGATGGATATCGCCGAATAAGCAATTAATTTCCCAAGCCTTTTTCAAATACAGTGAGGTGATCTGGTTTTTATGAATTGAGTTGATGATATAAATCGGCCACCGTAAAGAGTTTTTACAGCTGACGTTTCGAGAACTTGCCTATTCAGTTCACATTTATGATTTTCATATACTTACACTCACCACCTCGCGGGTTTATTTGTAACCAACATAATGACCAGAGCGCTTCACTACTATCGCAGAAGTCATGGGTTTAAATCCCCGGTACAGGAGTAAATTTTTTTTTCAGGGCTTATTTTTACCACTTATGTAGTGTTCTTAACTGCGAGGAACCAAAACAATATTGGTTCTGAGCGAGTACTTCAGACATTACTTGGGACAAACAATTTCTGAATAAACACCTTCGGAACATCTTCATATCTGAAGTTTTTTTTTGTTTTTTTTTTGTTTTTCGGTAGAGGTGAGGATGGCTTTCGCAGTGCGGCCGTGGAGGTAAGACGTGTCGACAAAGCTAGAGATGATTATCTAAATTGCTACTGTTATTAAACCCTTCACTGAACTGATAGCCCTTATAAATTAAGGGGAAGGAATGCAAAAGTAGACGAAACTTCTTGCAGTTTGCGGGGAAATTGAATTACTAAAGAACGAAATAAGTGAACTGAGAGAGGAATTGAAAAGTTTGAAGGATTCACTGGAGTATGCTGAAAAGGCGATTAAACGCCTTAAAGAAAAAAATGGCAGAAACAACCAAGACAAATAAAGAACACAGTGAAGACATTGAATTCTTTGACGCTGATATCGGTGCCCTGAACCGAAGAAAGATCAACTTAGAAGCCTACAGGCGAAGCGAGAACATAAAAATCTTCAACGTCAAAGAAGAATCAGGGGAAAACACCGAGGAACTGATAAGAAAGCTGTTTGTCACGAAATTGCAAATTCAGAACAAACATGTTAAAAAATTTTCGCTTTGAAAGAGTACATCGGATTCCGAGTGAGGCACCAGATCGGAGGTCAAGCCGCCCAAGACCAGTGATTGCAAGGTTTAGCTTCTACCAAGAAAAAGACTTTGTTCGTTTATTCTATAAGAACTTGAAAGGAACTGATATTGGAATAGTAGACGACCTCCCAAAGAGAGATTAAAGAAATCCATAAAAGGCTCTACCCTGTTTTAAAGAAGGCGAAACGGGTGCAGCAAAGAGCTTACTTCAATTTCGACGAACTAATTATTGAGGGACATATTTACAAAGGAAAGGAAACCAAGAATCTCCCCTACTAAGGTGACATCATGAATAATATTTAAGTCCCATAAAAGGTTTTGATTGAGGTCAGAAACCAGACTTTCTGTTTAAATTTGTAATTTTGTGTGTGTGTTTTGTTTCTCACCTGTAAGTTTAAATTCTGTTTGAAGGAGAATAAAAAAATTTCTTTACTCCATACTTTAGAGGAATATGCGTGCCCATCCAGATAAAATCTCGGGTTACCAAGAGATTTTACAAACTAAAAAACGATCATAGACGGCAAACTTTATATCAATTCTCTTAAACGTAAGGAGCATAAATAATTTTCACAAACGTTGATCTATGTTCACATAGTGTCGTAAAAGAAATGCAGATATTCTATTCCTTCAAGAGACGCACTCAAGTCAGAAAAACAATGGATAAACGAGTGGGTTGGGAAATTTTATTATTCACATGGAAGGCTAAATTCTTGTGGAGTTATGGTGTTGATTAGCAATAGATTAAATTGCGGAATTCATAAGACTATCGCAGATCCCTCGGGGCGTTTCATTGCTCTAAAAGTAGAAATTAATGACAAAGTTTATATCTACATAAACATTTATGCACCAAACAAAGACAACGTAATGTGCAAACTTTTCAAAAAATTACATAAAATGTTGCAAGCAGAAAATTTAGATTGTGAAGAAAATATTATTTGCGGATTAGATTTTAATTGCTCTCTAAATCAAAAGCTTGATAAAAAGGATGGTGTAATGCAATGTTATAGATAATGACTTAGCATCAGAAAATTTGCATTGGAGCCAGGGAGACCCCCTCTCTCCCTATCTCTTTATCTTGGCCTTAAAAATCTTGGCAATTTCAATTCGAGAAAATCCTGAAATACAAGGAATTAAAAATCGCAAACTTGTACAATATGCAGACAATACCACTGCTGTACTATCAAATCTTAATTCTTCTAACGCATTATTTCAACAACTGGATATATTTAAAAATTCATGTGGACTCGAATTCAACAGTTCAAAAACAGAATCTCAATCATCCTACTAGTCGCGATAACTAAAATATCCCGTTGAACTAATGAATTTAGATTTTCGCGTCTCAGAGCCTTGATCGAGTGCATTGAATTATTTAGCAGTATGCTTAGATACGCATGCGTCAAGCTTCTGATCGCGAGAACAATTGCTGGACAGGTGTGCCAAGAATCGCGTAAATCAAACACTGCAAAATATCAGCATTAGATTTCTGTTCGACTATCATTTTTCTTAACTTAACGCACTCTTCGACTGATTATTCAATTCCTTGAAGGTCTGATCTTTTCTTCTGCCATGGTCCATCTTGCTCAGAGTTGGTTTTTAACGGTTTTACTTTGTAACTGGATCCCCTTGATAATTTGTGCAAAAGGTAAGACATAAATTTTATTCCTTAATTTCATATTTCATTTGCTATCGTCGAACATACAACAATCGACTAATGAGATTCTTCTCTGAAGAGCAAAAAAGTGGAAGAAAAAATATATATATATAGCACACGTTTTTAAAATCATTTCATAACTAGAAAAAGTTATTTTATATCAGTCCCAAACCATGTCTTGTATGCTAAAAAAGTGATGTCTGCCACACTTTTCTGCGGCACCTTGTCAAAATATCAACCATCGTAACTGTTAAATTTCTTAAGCAAATTTTGCCCGATTATGCACCTTGAGAATCCAGAAAAGAAATTTCGCGAATAAAGCTTTCTCAATGGCTTACATGGCCCCTATACTAAGAAAATTCGCTTGAATGTCTAGCAAAATATCATGGTAACTAATCAAATTTTAATCTCGTTACATTGTCATATAATGCAGAGCACGGTTATTGAGTAAGTTATATTAAGGGCGAAGAACCAAAAGTCTAAAATTCTCAGTTCGCTAAATAGAAATTCATAATTTTTATAGCGATTATTAAAGGAAAAATTAAAATAATTCAAAGAATCTCAGAGAGCGCTTGACAGTTCACTGACACCATTTCCTCGACTTTTAATTAATTAAGATACCCAGTCTATTTTTTCAAGAGTGTATGGTAAATGTTATTGATTCACAGTTCGCGATTCTTGATTAGTTTTAAAAGCTTGACGAACTCAACCAGCTGCTGAGCATTTGAAAGGATTAAAACAAAACCAACACCGATAAAATAAAGAAATCAATTTTAGAGAACTAAAATGAAAAAGGTAGGAGGTGAACTTTGTTCTTTGCCTCACGATAGTCACTTTTGATGTTGATCGCGATGTTGCGATCAATATCAAAAGTGACTCTATCGTGAGACAAACGAACGAGGTTCATCTCCTATCTTACACCACGAGGAACAATAAACACACAATTTATTACATTAAATGACAAAGGCCCCGGGCGTCAATTGGCTAGAAGAGAACAAGAGCAATTAATTATAAAGTTATTGATTCTTAAACTTCCTTTTTTCTTTAATGAAATATCCATCTGATCAAAGTTAGACTAAAAAATAAAAGCAGAAAAATTAGTTGATAAATGGTTATACAGTTCAAAATGACTAAAATGAAACACGCATGATTCTCTGTAACTCTGTGGTTCGTGCTTACACACTCGTCAGACAGATTTTCGCTGTATTTCGCTCTACACTCATGTGTAGAACGACAGCATTTGCTACAATTTCCCACAATTAAATGGTTAATTTCATATTCACATTTACACTTTATTGCAATGACAGATTTGATAAAAGGACATGAGAAAGGAATCAAACATATTCAAGCACAATTCAAGTCAAAGAATAATTTTTTTTGAATTGATACCAAAGAAAACCGAAATGAATGACGACTTTACTCATAAAGAAACTGATGTATCAGTTTCATAATCGATCAATGATATGCCTGAGTCTCTGAAAAGAGCTCTCTTTTCTCTTTTTTATCACTGAACGTGTCCTAAACGCCACAGAACTATATAAACCGTCTGAAAGACAAACCGCCATATCTCTTTCCCCAATGGTTCGACAGAGAGTGATCCTCAAAGAAACGTTTCATTATCTATGTACACCTTCCATTGGATCACTTGCAGCACACGATGTTTTTGACTGCACCTTTGAATGCCTCAGCAATCCTCTATGTTCTTCGTTGAACCTGGCTTCCTCCAACAGAGCAGATGGTACATTATGGTGTGAGTTCTTGTCTTCCGACAGATACAGAAATCCGAAGGAATACAGAAGAAACCAGAGTTCGCATCACTTATATTTTAAGGTTAATATTATTGTTGGGGTATTTTCATGGACATTCCTTTTTATTTTTTTCGCTAAATATACCTACACACCCGTAAAGTCTCACTAATTTATTCCTCCTTCAAGCTTTAGAAATCTTGTATTATTTACGCTCTGAATATTTATTACATCAATTTTTAAATCACTGGCGATCATTGCAATCTGAATGGTTCTCATCGGTGAGATTTATTAACGAAACCTTTACTAAAAAACGACAACCAATCAGATTTCAAGGCTTTCTTTAAGTAACCGATTGATTAAAGAAATGAAAGACAACTTTTGCAAATTTTTACTGACTAGCTCAGTACTGGGTCAGTAACATATTTGTATAGAATAAAAAATCCTGTATTTGATCGAGTAAATTTTTGCCATTTAATGATGGATGTATTAAGTGATAATCGAACTCCGTGGCGTGCAAGTTTGGTCTAAAATCGTACTTGTGATTTCTAATCACTCGCATGATTTCGGACCAAATTGCACCCCACTCAATTCAATAGCTATTATTAATAATAGTTGTATTAAGTGGTAATGAGCTTCGTGTCGTGCAATTTTGGTCTGAAATCTTATTCAATGATTATGATTATGATTTCAAATCACTCGAATGATTTCAGACCAAATTGCACACCCCTTTTCAGTTTAATTGCCATTATTAATTATTTCATGGTTATATCGTTTCAGTCACCTTGCTCATCGTATCCTTGCCAGAATGCAGGCGCTTGTGAGACAAACTATACAAATAATACTTTTAAATGCTTCTGTGAGAATGGTTTCACTGGAGAGTACTGCGAGAAAGGTAACACTGTTAAGCATATAAAAATAAGTACGTAGCGATTTTACTAACTTTAAGATTTTGAGTAAAAAAACCACATTCGAAGCTAGCAATTCATTTGAATGTGATATTGTTAACCCAAAGGCATGCTTTTTTATCAGGTTTCTCATAACCGGTTTCCATCTGATGCAGCTTCTAACTTATGCATTTTTCATTTCTTAAAGCACTGAAGTCTTGTAAAGAAATATATGCCGCACACAAGTAAGTAACGTGCGTTTTCATAATCATTACAGAAACGGCAAAAGTGGGACAATTATCACTATGCCATGCAACATCGCTTTCAATATCATAATTATAATCTTTGACATGATCATTACTAACAATTTTTTTCATTATTACTATCATTGTCATTATCAATGTAATTAGTACTATTAGTATTACCATTATAAGTTTGAATTGCTTTAAAAAAATTAGTGTCCGCGACAGGCTTAACGTGAGTCAGTTTGCTACTCTGATCATAAGCGAGAAACCAGTCTCTCTTCTTTGTCACATGGGAGATTTTGGATGTGGTGATGGAGGATGGACGCCGGTCATGAAGATTGACGGCAACAAGGTTTGAGTTTTCCCCTTTTTTTTTTTTTCTTTTTTTCTTTTTTTCTTTTTTTCATCAAAAGTAATTGCCAAAGCATTATGGCCAACATGTTAGAGTGCGTCCATCAAAACATGAATAATGAGAAACCTGCACCGAGTGGGTCGATCTGAAATTAAAGCAACGCTGAAATAAATTTGAATATTTCGTTTTGAGAAGTAATAGCCTAACTTTTTCTAGACAATCCTTTTAAGGTTCGTTCGGACGAAATGATCAGCCGTATTTCTTTGAAACAAGATAAGATTATAGTTTTAGAATTTTGTATTCCTGAACAATGTAGAAAACATGAACGAAAGGGTTCTCATTCTTATATAGGACACCTTTCACTTTGGCAAATCTTTTTGGACTGATGAAAAGGAATACAATCCTTCTGGGGGTGAAACTGGGTTTGACCAGCAAGAAACAAAGCTACCCAGTTATTGGAACACATCCTTCTCCAAGATCTGTCTCGGTATGATGTTCGACCAGCAGCTCAGGTTCATTGTCATCTACAAGCAAGCTGACTCTCTGTATTCACTGATCGCTGACGGAAAATATCGCAGTACATCCCTGGGTCGTGACACGTGGAAGAAATTACTTGGTGATCATGCCTCTTTACAGCTCAATTGTAATAAGGAAGGGTTCAACATAGAATGTCATAATAGCGAGGCATCTGCAAGGATTGGCATTGTGACAAATAACGAAGATTCCTGCCATTCGTGTGACTCCAGGCTCGGGTTTGGCACAAAAGGAAGAATTGATGCCAAAAACACCTGTGGAAACGTGGCTCTGGCTATGCACAAGGCAGATAATGGAGACAAACGCATCAAAGCCATGGGTTACGTATTGGTTCAATGAATGGAGTTTACATTACTGATCAAATTTGTCTTACAACGCTGTTGCAGCTATAAGGATAATCTGCTTTCACTGGAACCCCATTCACACCGGCAAAACATGTTTAGTTAAAGCGGTTTAACTGGAAGAAATTCAGAGACAGAGAACCCCCCAAAAACTAATTTTTTTTTATAAGATTAAGATGTCACATACTTGTATGTTCAGTGCACTAAATTTGAAGTCAACAGTCATTGGTTTAATTAGCTTTTATGAAGAAAAATTTAAACCGTGATTAACAAAACAGCTTTAGAACATGTTTAAGCTCTGGTGTGAAAGGGTCATTAGTTTATCTTGGTGAGTGATTGTAAGACTTTAAATTGTGCTTCTCACGTCATGATTACTAAATAGTTGTAGGAACGTGTGTAGTCTAAAGCGGTTTCACTGAAAGAAACTCAGGGAAAGAGAACCGTGAAAAAATACATTTTTTATAGGATTAAGATGTCACCAACTAGTATTTCCAATGCCTTAAATTTAAAGTCAACAGAGATTAATTTACGTAGCTTCTATGAAGAAACATTAAAACCGTATTTCACCAAACAGCTATAGAACATGTTTAAGCTTTGGAGGGAAAGGGGCACTAGTTTATTATGGTAATTGACTGTATGACAAGTCATGATTACTAAATAGTTATAGGAACGTGTGGAGTCCAAATCGGTCTGTTACCATACGATTGATTTACCAAATCTAAGAACAGGGAGGTGGGAGTCCGATATGTTAATCAGAAGCATGATTATTGACTGCATCGGACGAAACGAGGTCCGATGAGTATACTCAATGTGATTGGCCGATGTAACTATCCAAGAAAAGGTGTCCAATTTAAACCATTTGTCCGTTTACAACTCTTCACAATAATTTATGTGAAACAAGGCGGTTTATCCACCAATCATATTCGAGGAAATTGAGATGGCTATAATTAACTGAGGATTATGCAAATTCGTTAGAAGTAGAGGCACTCTCGTTATCTATTACAGGGTGGCCGAGTGGTTAGGGGCTCTGGGCTTGTGATATGTTGGTCCCTGGCTCAAGCCTTTCACCTTGCTACTAACTGGATTTTTTCTCGGTTGCCTTAAGCTCTATGGCTGCGCTTTGTATATAGTCACTGGTCTGCTCAAGATAGTTGGAATTTTTTAAATATTTTATTTATTGACAATGTTTGTTTCCAATTGGTTCGTACTGGCTTTGAAAGGCCCTTCTGGAGGAGTGGCTAATTGAGTATGCATACATACATTCTTTTTCCATACAAGTTATGAGTTATTTACTAAATTTAAGAGGCTGTGCGCATTAATCTGTAAAAAAATGTAATAAAATTTGAATGCGACGGGATTAGCCCATATCGTAGAAAGAAATCACGCAAGTGTTGTAGCAACAAAGTTTTCTTTAATTTTAATTTTCTTGTGAAATAATCAATGCATAGCTATATTGTTAACTTTTTATCTTTGGGCCATTCTTTTGATTCACTTGCCCTAACTTTACTTCAAGAGAAAAAAAAGAAACATTCCCGAATAAAAAACTCAAAGACATAGACAAAATTGTACCGAGTAAGGGAACTTCCTTTGACGAGTTTTTCTTTATAACGTATTTTGATGAATTGTCACTTTTTCTTGACAGAGAGTGAGTTCACAGGCACCCAGGTCGCTCTTTGGAGATCGTGAATTAGACTTCTAAATAGTGCAAATAATTCTCTTCGCGAGAATATTTGATGGGTTTAAAACCAATTGTCTGTATTTCTATTATTAGTTTCCAAATTACCCTAGAAAAACCCATTCGATATTAAGAGTTCATTCCGAATCACAAGGACAAGTTAGACAATAGTTGACGCAATCGAAGGGACTTGTTTAGTTTAGAGCCATGGTATCAGTTAGTTCGGATATTCAGAATAACTGACTGTAACAGTATCCTTGGAAGACCACAATAAATTCTTCTACATGACAAGACAGGTGTATCTGCCTTTTATTTTTCACTCCTATACAATGCAATGGAATTAAGGACCCCAAAGGCATATCTCCTTTTGAAACTTCCTTAGCTGTTTCCGTCAAATCTCCCCTCCCTTCTCTCCCCCCGCCCCGGTTGACAAGTAACGGTGTTTAAGATTAATGTTTAACGAACTTATCAATTCCCGGCTGAGGTTCCATGGCAATTTTCTAGCAAGAGACAAATTAACTTGTTAGCTCAGAAGCCAAGAAAACATCTGCTGAACCTTAATTAATGAAAGATGGAAAGCTGAATCATTATTGGATTTCAACAAGTTCTTGGGACAGCCTTGAAATACTCTTTGAATCATTATTGTTATTACTATGGGCAAATTTCCAACAGGTACCTAACAATGATTATCATATTATGACACCCTCGGTCAATTAGCTCTGAAGGCACCTGACAATCATGACACTGGCATCAACCTTTTATTAGAAAGTTGCAATTAGTTGATGTTATGGAAAGGAAGAAGACTAATTACTTCTTTTCCTCAAGTCGAAAAAATTAATAACAAAAATATGAAAAACATCCACATCGAAGACGACGATATTAACTCTTTAGGCCTAAGTAATAACATATGTTTTAGTGTTTTCAAAGAAGAAAGACGCTGAGTTTGCAAAACTACGCATCTTGGACGTTATGCTCTCTGATGGGAAGCAGAGGGTTTTAGGGCGAGAGACGGCTCTTCTTTCATTATGCAAAACCAACTGTTTGTTTGGGATTTCAGTGCAGCTGTATCTTATTGGAAGTTTATTCTTGCTAAATTTATTCCTGTCATTGTTCCTGTTCCTATTGTTAAATTTTTCCCTTTGGGAAAATTTATCAATTTTCCCCCAATATCAATTGCTAACAATTTACGAGCACTTCGCATTGATAACATTATCATTTTAATTAAAGCCAGAACTTTATTAGAAAAAATTATTTCAAATATTCCGCAAATACAGCTAGGGAAGAAGACGGAGAAGCGTAAAAGAAAAAAAAAACTCCATTAGAAGAATAAGCAGGAATACTGGAACTACTATATTTGTTAACTTGAAACGGCATCTGATGGTTTCACTAAATATAACACGGACACAACATAATGTTTACATAGTTTGCTATCTATGTGTGGGGTCAGGGAAAACCTGATGATACAAAGACGTGTAAAGCCAGAGAATCGAAATGTTATATCCAAAATACGGATTGAGGAGACAAAAGAGAATATAAGAGGGAGAAAAAAAAAGAACAAAAGGAAAAAAACGAAAGATAAAAAAAGAGAGAAAAATATTGAGATAATAATGAGAGCTTTTGACGGTTTACAGTTCTTATTTACTTAGAAGAAATTAAGTATCGATGATAAAGAAGACACGGTAAGACTTTAATTACTTGTGGAGTTGAGCATAGTTGAAACACACCAGTCGTAAAAATCATTTGCGCCATGCTTACCGTTTGTATCTGTATGATTCTATCATGCCCCATGGTGATCAAGTCTATGACATCAAAAGGTAATTTCAAGCAAATTTATTCTCACCTACAGCAATGTAGTTTATTAGTTCCTTTGTACGGGTCAATAAGTCATTTTTACTTACAGCTCAGTCCGCTCATTTTAACTGCCGGCTTATTTTGGACTCTCTTATATTTTCTTGACTTTCTTGTGGGGTTTGTTGGCGAAAAAGGCATATTGATTCCTCCAAATTGATGTAAAACCATAGATAAAAAACACTAGAGTTATGAGTAGGATTATAATTAACAAAAAGATGATCAATTGCTTTCTTTTAAAACGATCTAGTGTGACACTGACATTTGCATTTTTCCCCTCTCTTCAAAAAGATAAGGATAATCTACTTGGCTATAAATGCTTCTTAATCTCTGACACGACTGGAAGTTTTCGTTTTAGCTTCTTTCTTAAGCATTCGAGAAAGTTTGCTAGCCGAAAAACTGAAGGCTCTAAGTCGATCTGTGGGTGATCATGATGTATAAGAAAGCTCGCAACGCTTCTAATTCACAGAACGTCGAGTAGTTATGCTTTCAGCGAAATAGATATGCGTCATTGACCTAACGTGAGGGAAAGGTGGCTGGATATCGGCCGAGACAAAGTCAATGTCCATAAAAACTCAAAATTAGAACAAGGCTTGTGGGATTTAGTAGATAGGAAAAAAAAAGATTCCACCTTAATAAGAATCAAGTATGATTTGTTTATTTTCGAACGTTGGGAAAGAAAGCCAACAGTGATGGCGCTTGCGCGTTTTTCATTCAACAAATTTTAAAATCAAGGGATTAAATGGGTTACTTTGTACTTTTAAAAAGACTGAATCAGAGGAAATTCAGTTCTTGCTCGGTGAGACTCCTTGTTTTCTGAGCGACAAAATCGCTTCCATGCTTTGATATCGCTTTGTTTTTTTATTTTATTTTATTTTGTTATTTTCCACTCTTTGTAGCACAATCGCCTTAAAGTGATTGCTCATGTTTTCTTTGTTTGCTTGTCCTCTGCTGTTTGTTTGTTTGTTTTTTTTTGCGACTCCATTGCCGAAATTGTCGAAGACAAACTGCGAACTTTGTAGGTCCTCTCCAGGCAATTTTTATTGCGCGGGACCAAGGCGGCCAATTTCAAGCGGGAGAGATTGGCCTGTCTTGCCCACTCGGCTAGCCAATCAGAACACCGGATTAGCTTGATATTACCCACGGGTGTTGCCAGCTATATTATAAGTACAGATTCACAATGTCGTTAATTCATTTCCATTACATTCTCAACTTTGAAGACTTCTCTGAAGCAGACCAATGCCGTCAGTTGAAATTCCGGCCTGAAAAAGCATTTGACGGCAAACGCTTAATAAACCACCTGGTTCGCATCAATGAAGTCATGGTAATGGAGTTCTGTGAAACAATGTGTTATATGGAACCCAACTGCGTCAGTATCAATATTGATAAACGAGTGGATGGAAAAGGAAAGTACAAATGTGAATTGAATAATGTTACTCACGAAGGTCACAATCACGAACTGATAGAAAACGGAAATTATTTTTACCATGCAGCTGAGGCAAGTAAATTGTCTATGTAACCTCATTTACAGTGTGTAAATTTTTTTTTTGACAGATATACGGTGCAGGCTTACACGTAGGGTTACCCTATATATTTAGGCTT